ATTATGAGTTGATGATTAGTAAGAGTTTTCTAAATAATTTACAAAAAATGAACCATTCCTGAATTCCCAAACATTTCCGCAAAACTCAAATAGAAAATTGTTTCAAGTTGTATAACATAAAATAAAGAAGATTTCAGAAAAACATTTCATGCGTATGTAAAAGAAAAAATGCATTAGACACCATAGAAAAGTGAAATAAAGGATATTTTGATATTGATGGTCTGTATGTAGAGGTGGAGTGAGTGAATCAGTAGATTACTGTGGGCAGTGCTACAGTAAAGAGTCACTCACTGGGTGACACTGACCCTGATGTAAATGCAGTGTACAGTGGTAGTTCATACCAGTGAATAAACATAATTTAGTGTAATTAAGGAGTGTACTGTGCATCTACAATGGTTACTGTGAATTAAATGCTTTAAAATTACAGTGAAGTTACTGTAAAATATCTTACAGTGCAATATTGTATACTTACAGTACATTACTAGCAAATAAACTCAGTAACTTACTGTAAATGAAAATAGTTTAGTAACACATAATTAACAGGACCAAAGTGGTTGGTCAGTGGTTGTTAATTGTTATATAATTGTGTCATATGTATTTCTAAATGCTTCCATTTCAATTTTTAAAGTTTACTCAGTGACATTTAATTAACATGTCACTGAATTATTGAAACTTAAGTATTTATTACTCTTGACGCTCAAGCAGCAGCTTTATGAGAAGCTACCTGGGATTGTTTCTTCTTTCTTTTCCTTTTTTAATTCAAATGTATTTGTTTTATTTTGGTAATAATTTTATATATGAGCATCACCTTCACTGTTTATTATTTATTTCTAAGATGCAAATTTCATTTTCATTTAAGCTTAAGACCTTAGATCAAAATGCATTTAACATTATGAAAAATCAGTTCAAATTCATATTCAGGTGTGCCTGAAATTTTTAACTGTACGGATTTTGCAATAGGCTCTTAACTTACTCAGATATACTGATGTTGGCATTGATGAATGAAATATAGTAAGGGTCAGTTAACATTATGCAAATGAAGTGAGGCTAATTGGTCCCCAATTAGTCAATTGGTCATTCACTGCTGATGGCATTAGCATTTCTGATGGTGTATTTCTTTAAAGAGCAAGACTTTTTTTTTTTTAGTCCAGCTTAGGGAATAAGTGTAATGTTGAGGTTGCAGTCGCTGAGATGAAAATAGTCTCCAACCAGGCAAGTGGACTAATTCAAGCAGAGAGAGCACAAGGACGTCTTGCATCATTTCCTTCGCACAATGGAAATCCATGAGCAATCTTACAATGTTAATCTACCCATCCTAGCCCTATTCATGATCAATAACTGCACATAAAAGAGTTCTCCAAGAAGCTGGAAGGATTAAGAGGCTAAAAAAAAAAAACATTTCTAAAGAGCGGAAATAGCTTCCTGTGTGAGGTTTCCTGCATAAATGGCTTTCTCTTTTTGTTCAGTTGCGCTAATTGAATTTGGCCCCATCTCTAGAAATAATATTTCTGCTTTCCAATGCATGGAGAGGTTAAACACTTTATGTGCTCAGTGATCCAAATCATGAAGAAAACATTCTTTGGCGTTCTTCCTCCTGCCCTCGCTGCACTGCGCCTCCGTCGTTCTTTCTCTCCTGCCCTTAAAGGAGTTCATTTACTTAGCTTTAAATTTCCTAATTACATTTTGGATTGCGTGAATAGAATTTGTTGCATTAAGCACTAAGCTGTTTATATAGCCCCAGGGGAAGACCTCGGCCAGGCCCTCCAATGGTTTGTCAACAGGGATTCATAAATGGTTTTGAAAGTGATTTGAACTGCAGGTGCAATAAATGGGAATTTCATCTGTGGACTTGCGGTCAGACGGCTTCTGCACTTGAAGGGCCACCGTTTTTTCAAAATTTCCATGTAATTAATTTGCTAAGATGTCAGCAAAGTCATTCTGAGGGGTTTGATTTTGGAATGCTCCTTTCTGGAGAAACTTGAAGAGTCAGAATGGTTCATGGTGGTGATAGGAACCAGACGTCTGAAGAGTTCAATACCTCTAAAGGCTACGTCACAAACAAAATATTACTTAAAATGGTTATGAATGTGCTGCCTGATGCCTGAGACATTTTAGGATAGTTTTGGCATTAAGTTTTGTCCTAAAACATATTTGTTAAAGCACATTCATAGTGAAGAGTAATGTGTAGGGCATTGTGAGGCAAAATAGTTCTCTAATGCTATTTTACCATCCTCAGCATTGCATATAAATCTCAGTTGAAATTTGTATGTTAACTGGTGGTTTTGGAGAATAAATAAAACGGCACTGTTTGTATTGCAAATATGGCAATTCCTGGTTCCTGTCAGCACCACTGTAAAGAAATCTAAATCTCTCTAAGTTAATCAGCAAACCACTCTGAATGACATTTACATCTCAAAAACTAAATTATGTAGAAATCTGAAAAATGGGTAGAATTCCCCTTTTATAGCCTTTATGAATGACATGATAGGCTAGTAGTGAAGATGTCCATAAATCTATCCTATTTTTTTTTTAAAAACAATTACAGTTTCTTTTAATAACACTTATTAAACTCAAAGTGGACATCAGGTATTTTATGGTGTTGATGTTTGGTGACTGAAGTGAACTTTTTCAGAAATGAGTTCCAAATATTTTCTGATTTGACATATAAAATTTATTTCTCATGAGCACAAAAATTCAGACTCATATTTAAACAATGATTGAAGTCATACAGCTTTGTCATAAACTGAAAACATCTCTTCACAATCAAGACATCCCTTAGCTCACAGTCTTCATTTACAGTCTGAAGTGCCAGTTACGCCTTTAATAATAAGTTATTGGAAAAGTGTTAACTGTACGATTCATTCAGGAACGTTGAAAGTTAGTTGAGTCGTCAGATCCCAAGTGAAATTCAGATGACACGTTTATTTCAAACCGAAGGAAGAAGGTCGTTGATTAAAAGTTAGGTCCTTCAGTGGTTGTGTTTTAAGTGGTAAATTTATTTTCCGGTTTCAGTGTTTCAGACAGTGTGGCCATTTCAAAAGGATCAGCATATGGCTGTCCGTCTTAGTGCTCAGAATGGTTCTGACTTGCAAGGAGTACTCAAAAGTTTAGAAAACAAATGTTTAAAAATGGTTTATATACTTTAGGTGGGAATGGTTTTGATTATTTATATATATTTTTTAGAAAAAGTTCCCTTAAATGTGCATAGTGGCTTCCAAGCGGTAGACGTGAGAATGGATTAAAACCGTACGTTATCAGGCAAAGCCGAATTATCATCATCCTTTTTTGGGACTCAGTTCAACAGGCCAGTTGTCTTGTTTTAATGTTACTCCTCCATATGTTCTCACCAGACTGACAGATGAAACCAGTATGTGCGATAGAGGAGAACAGAGTAATTATTGTTATTTTTATACATGAATATATTTACAGAGGGGGAAAATGTATTCACACGATCATTTAATAAAGCAACAACCTTTCACAAAATAACAAAAAATAACATAAATAATGAAAAGTAAAACTAACAATCAGTAGTTTTATATGCATATGACAGCTTTGTTTTACTCTGCATAGGTGTACATAAAAAAAAACGAAAAAAAAACAAAACCTTTACCATAATACTGTCATCACAATAAAATAGACTGTAAATAAAACAGCAAACAAAAAAATCTTTGGCAAGTGTGATAAAAGTACCATCTGTTTTACTCCTCGTCAAATATTTGAAATCCTCGCTTTGTGTTTACTTGAGCTTCTATATGTGGGATTGTGTTAAATGGGCTGTAAATGAAAAGAAATTGCACTTAAAGCACTTTTGCCTTTGATTAAGTTGGATCATACTAAATAGCAGGACTTTCCTTCTGCTCAGGAACTGTAAGGTAAGCATCAAGCCAATGTTTAGCTGCTAGAGAATACAGTAGTGCACAAGCTGTATTGTCATTTCAAAGATATATTTTGAAAAATGTCAGGAATAGAAATGTTCTGTAAACACATTAGGAGCATTAGATGCCATGTAGGATCAGTAGAGTGTGATATGGCTCCCATTAATGCTCCTTTTAAACAGTGGCCACTCAGAAGTACAGTACATAGGAGCTCATAGCGGTAACGACTGTAGATCCACGAGAGTGATAGATTTGTGCACAAATATTTAAATTAGCACTCAAAGCCCTGGCAGCAAAGCACACTGAGGTCCAGCATGAGCTGCGAGGATTTTTATACTGAAGTATAGTGTGGTGTTACTGGCCTTTAGTCACATTAGTTCACAACCAGCTCAATGAATGTTGTCTAGATCCCTTCGAACCTCATTGTAATCACAAATATTAGATATTAGGTGGAATAGTCAAGGTATTGGTGTTCAGTATATCTTAAGTTTGAATGATCTGTAGTGCAAAAAATAAGATGAAAATGAAATAATGCCTTGTTTCTCCTCAGAAAATGTAGCCAAAAAACATATAGCTAAGAAAATAAATCATGTGTACTGCATTGTTATTTGACTTTATAAAAAAGAAATGCAAAAAAATTAATTTAAGAATATATATATATGTTCAGTAATTCTCCAGCTTGGTCAGAGGGGAGCCGGAGTAGGTCTGTCTGGATAAATCTTTTTCTTTCTCCTCTCTCTTCACATTATATGACTGATTGTTTTTCACAGAGGAGGTGTGCTAGTAATCTTTCCATGGCTTGTAATGATGAAGAAGCAGTTTACATGCTAGGTGTAAGTCCAGATAAATTATGCTGCATTGCACAGTTTTGAGAGAGAGAGTGAGAGAGAAGCAGGAAAAGAACAAACTGCCATGCAACAGTCATGGAAAGGAAATGTTTTCTTCCACAATGACAGAAGTATGAAAACAGAAAGCCAAAGTTGCCTCCTGCGTCGTCCTCCCCTTTCGTGTTAATTCTTATAAGATTTATTAGTCAAGTCTTTGAGATGTGTGCACCCACTGTAACAGTTGGCCTCTTGGATTTGAATGGCTGAATGTGGGTTAGCCGTCTGGCGTCCTGGTTGGCCCGCTCTTCATCATGTGACGTACGGAAGGTGGCCTGCGTCCAATCAACTGCACCGCTCACACTGGCACAACATGAAGTCCGAGGCTGTGGGTGTGGTGTCTGGTTTGGTTTCCGTGGTAACTAGTGGCGGTCGTAGGCAGCGGCAGCAGCTGGTGGGGCAGAGGCTCGGGATGCACTATAATAATAAGGGGAACCTGGAAGTTAACGAGAGAGGAATGTCCCATTTCAATGAGTCATCCGTAAACTCAGAACCTAAAAGTTAACCAAAGAGGGATTTTACCATCCGTACGGTCAGAAACACAGACCGTCTTTATTGTTACTTTATTATGGATTCTAGATTGAATTAAAACCTGGAATTTTGGCTCTATTTTAAGTATTGGTGACACTTTACTTTGAGTGGTCCTTTAAGATGAAACAAACACTCAGTAGACTTTCCGTAATATGTCAAAAACATATGGGGGTTAGGTTTTGGGTAAGGTTAGGTAAGATTAGGTTTTGCGTAATGGAAGTAACATATTAACAACACATCTACTTAATGTAAGTAATGTATCAACTGAACATAAACAAGATATTTACTTCAGTGTATTCAGATGCTGCACTACTGTTACTTCACTGATATGTTGATGTGTTACTGATAATCTGTTAAGAGTTTATTAATCATCTACAAAGGACAACTCCAAATAAAGTGTTACCTAAGGATTCACTCCATTGCAGAATCCAATAAATGCACTCTAAGATAATCTGAATCTTTTTCTAAATATAAACTTGAATAGAGCAGCTCATGCTTTAACTTTACTTCTTCCTTGAATTCTCAATCATTTTCATATTTTGTATTAATGGTACTGTTAAACTGTCAGAAATAAAGGTATGAAACTATCACTGGGGCGGGACCCCTCTTGTCACTGGGGTGGTACCTTCAAGGATACATCTCAGTACCTTTAGTCAGGGAACGTAATTGTACCATAATCCATTGAAATTATATTTTCTAAGTTGTATTGACTCACACACCCCGTCTCGTTTCCAGGCTTTTTATTTTATTGTTCTGTCTTAAAACATTAAGTTATTAGAAAGTACAAATACATACTTTTCACCTGGGAAAAACTTATTTAAGGTACACACTGGACTTAAAACCACTGTTGTCCCTTTGAGGGAACGTTGACATTGTCTGTACCTTGATGAACAAAAAATGTATCTGCACAGAACCTTTATTTCTAACAGTGTATAGTAACAACATTTTTTACAGTCAAAATAATTTTTTTCTATCATGACAGTGATACTCACTTAGTAAGGCTGGGTTGCTGAAGCGCCATGCCTCGTTGTATGTTGTGTATTGCGGGTGACTGTAGGGATTCCCTGAAAATTCGCTCCCTGCAGGGATGAGACACATAAGACCATTAAAACACATTGTTTGTACTTTATCATAAAGTAATGCTGCACATTTAGAATCATCAAGGGAGTTACAGACAGGACCAATAGCCACTTTATTCTGCCGGCTGGAAATTTGCCCTGATTTTGCTGCTCTCTGGTGAACAGTAATCTCATGTTAAAATCAATTCTGTTGTTGTTGGTCTCTCTCACTGTCTCTCTCGCTCGCTCTCTCTCTTTCTTGCTCTCTCACTCTCGCTCTCTCTCTCTGCTGGCTGTATAAGCTCCCTGGTGACAACTTGCTCTTGTGCTCTTTTAACTTCTCCAAGTTTCTCTTTCTTTCTCTGCAGTGGAATTTCGTTGTGCAGGAAGTCAGTTAGACTGTGGCAGTGGGCTGTGATGTTGGGATAACACCACCTTCTGTTTTTATGAGACTATAAAGAGCAGGTTTTATATGAAGAAGGTGAAGAATGGCTTTCTTGGCTTTAATCTCTTTCTGGAAGGCCCAGGAGGAGAGAAAAGCCTATAGAAAAGCTCTAGCCATGGATTTTGAGCCTTTGTATACAGTTAAGAAAGCAGGTGAAAAAGAACACGTGAGTGGTAAATTCATGATCTAGACATTTGCAGTGCTTTATGGAACAAAGAACATCAAACTTTCAATTGAAATTGATTCATTTTGATTCAGTTTAGTGACTGTAAGTGTGTAGAAACTTTAAGGTTACTCACCAGGAACCATTCCAGCCAGGGTGGATGTCGGGTAGCTGCCCTGCCCTGTAGGGGGCACATGAGGTGGATAGCCAGGTAGGGTTGTGTTGGCCATATCTCTACCTACACACAGAGCATAACACCTTCCATTAATTCCCTACAAATGACTTCCCTTCATGTGTTATAATGTTTGAGACATGACTGTGGAAAGTGCTTGGCAGAAAACGCCTCGTATGCAAATGTTACAAAACACATCTCTGCACATTCTATGCACATTAAAGACTTATTCTGAAGTAAATGTGCAAAGCCATTAGCTGAAAGAAGACCAGCATTATCATCATTAGGAATATTAACAACTAAGCAGGTTACTATTCTTAACCACAAAATTGCTAGAGTATCCCAGAGGCTATACATACTTAGTAAGCTGTAGACAAAAGTACTTGATTCAGATGTGCACATAATTTTGGCATTAATGAAATATTGTAGCATCCCGCTACTGGCTAGCTCTGCTGTGGGAGTGCAGGTGGCGTGGCCATGCAGAAGTGCCACATTTGCACTTTAATGTGTAAACAAGTTGTTAGCATAATGAGGCGCTGATGTGTCACAAATGCTATTCTGTGCTGGGTTGTGGGGTAGTTTTTATGGGATAAGTGTCTACCATGGAGATTTGTATAGTTAAAAGTGACCTGCCTGCTATTTCAGCCTTTCCAACAGCACTCAGTAGCGGTTCTATATATCGTTGCAGCCTGTTCTATAAAATAACATTTACCCTTAAAACTTATTTTACGCTGATGAACTGGTGTCAGAAGTGGGATGCTACAATGTATTACATTAACACACTATTGTCTCAGTTTACTTAAGTTCAGGAGTGGATAAAGGCTTGGAAGGCCCTTTTCTGATGATGTATCAAAAGGTGAGAATGCTAGCTGACGAATACAGAAGAAAGCTAAATAGCTAGTATTATTGCTAGGAAGCAACAAAAACACATTTCAAACATCCCACCCTCAAAATTCACCCCAAAGCAATTAGTTTTTCAATACTTCATCCCATTTTTTGACACATCCAGAAAGTCCATTTAAAGTCCATTTCAGTCTTATTAAATGATGTGTAAATATGGCACCAAGCATGCTTGAGTGAATTAAAAAAAGTACCTACTTTAAAGGATAACTTTATAAAAGTGAAAGTAAAGTAAAAATGATATAACAAAATTATGTGTGAATCTGCTTTGTCTTAACTCTTTTAGACCAACTCTGAATGTGGTGCACTGACTACTGAGTGATATCAACTCATTTAAAGTTAAATTTGGGCATTTTGACATTTTGCACTTTTGAATTTGAAAAACAATTGTTTGCAGGAACTCAACTGGAAAGAGACAAGAGGGGAAAACAAGACAAATCTTATGGCTTTTGAGGTTTGTTACAAACATTGTGAGGGTCTAAATGAAAATATGAGAAGTAAAAGTTTGTTTTTCTTGGAGAGTTTTGCACAAATCCTTCACACAAATCTTCTGAAATAATTATCAGTGATTATGTTGATGCAATATAGTTTATGTTTGTGAAAACTGTGTACATATTTGAATCAAATAAATTCAATGTGTCGCAATTTCACTACAGTATGTGTGCTGTGTGTACAGTATTGCTGTGTGACAAGTACAAAACTGAACTTAAACAGCATCACGTGAAACATAAAGCCATGGCCCTCTAGTTGCGCCTGAGTGAGAGCCCCTAATTTCTACTATAATCAGACACTTTTAAGCGCTGGGTACTGTCCCATCTATGACTCAGAGATGAGAGCAGATGCGGGCCGGGGCCGTACTGGCCCATACTGTCCCAGCCGGATGGTCATTTCTTCTACAGAGCACAGAGGAGCTCTGCATTCAGAGCGGTAATTGGGGCTGACGCTTGGCTGTCCCAGGCAGCCACGTGTAGCCCTGAGCCTGCCGAGGCGGCCAGTCGGGGGCCCCTTAACGGCATTGTTGGAAAGGGAGAGAAAAGGGGAGAGGGAGAACGAGGGAGAGGTGGTGGGCGACGAGGGGAAAGTCGGTCACCAGTGCAACTTTAATGAGCGGGCCAGCAACCATTATGGCAATCACTGACCATAGAGTCTATTCTACAGAGAGCACTGTGAAAAAGCAGCTTCGGCCACTGCCTTTTTTTCCTTCTTTTTTTGTTCTGCTGTGTTCTGTTTTTCAAATACTGTAAAACGTTTCCAGAACAGCAAGAAAAAAGAAGAAACCTCTCTTAAACACACACAGACAAAGACTGCAGATATTTCAACTAGCAGTCTAGAATTGTATCTCTTAGACCTTAAATGTGTTTGATTGTTAGCGACCTGACACTTATCACAAATTGTTCTACAAACCACCTAAAAGTATCCAAACATTTCAAATATTTTATTGACAATAACAACAATAAAATAACAGTACAATTTTTAAAAACACATTGTTTGGATTTTGTGTGATTGTCACTTTATCTGATTTGGATTGTATTTAAGGCTTGTCCACTGTGCAATTTGAGGAGAATCCAAAACTCAAAGTAAGCAACCCTGGAGTGGAGCTCTTTTTGCGGAGATTATAGTGTCTTCCCTAACCAAAACTGGAAGTGACCAATCATAAAATCCCCATTGCCGTACATTAAAAGCTGCACAAATCATTACCTGATATTTAAATGAGATTCAGCAGTGTTTCCCTGGTGAGCGTTGGAAAAGGTAGTGACAAGGATTATTTTTAAACACTCAACACACAAAACCTTGTGTCTCCATTTTTGTTAGTTTTTACTTTAACAGAATTTGAAAATGTCAGGTACCATTCAATGTGTTAAAATTCAGTGACAGTAGTGATGGTCTAAAATGTAATGAAATCTTGTTCAATTAACTTACATTAACATTAAGAATGTTTTACTGCTTCTCCTGTGATGTTATTTTTCTGATGGCATGAGTTTTTGCCCCAAAAAATCAGAAATCAGATTACTATACCTCAGTCATATTCTTTACTCTCTACATTTAAGTATAGTTTCAGAATTTCAGAGGCATCCTGGGCATGGCAACTGAGTGGGCAGATGACTCCTAACAGACTTTGGCTGATAAGATTAATGTCAGAGGTGCAGAGACCTGATTAGTTTTGATATTTGGAGCATAAATAAAATAATAATAGTAAAAAAATTAAACTGCCCAAAAGCTGAATAAACAGAAAACGCTGGCAGAAAAGGGATTTTAAAACGGCTGTCAAACCAGCATAAAGAGACCTTTTGTTAAGTCAGGCTGTTCATTACTGCTCTGTTCATAACTAACAGCCTGCCAAACCACTGAGTACAAGACTGATCAATAAAGAATTATGTAAATTAGTCTATAAACCATATTCTTTTGTGCTAAAACTCTGAATTTGGCCTTTTCTAATCTTAAATATGACATTGATATTTGTGCATGTTGTCCTGTTGAAACTGATTCAGTTGATTTGTCATTACTGAGATGAAAGACAACCAAGGCCCCCGCCTCTCCTAACTGATTTGTCAACATCCATTGAGAGAGACATTTTCATTTACTGAGTCTTTCAAGCACTATGAAAGTAGAGCATAATAATAATAATAATGATACAAATAATAATAATAATAATATAGCAATAATAATAATAATAATAATAATAATAATAATAATAATAGAAATAATAATAATAATAATAATACAACTGGATCGTGGGATGTGCTGTAACACTTTTTTTTCCTGTTGTATTCCGTTTCCCATGACAGGGACACCTTCATGTTTGCAACAACACAGCGCAGGGATCTTCTGACCTCCATTTTCTAAATTCAGGATGGAGCAATTTATCACCAGCCAAAAGCCCCCTCACCCTAATTAATTACGACTAAGCAAAGGATGTTTGGAAAGCCAAATTGCCTTAATTCCCTGGCTGCGTGGTGAAAGTCGTTCATTATCAAATGTGTGCTCAAAGGTTAGTTTGCTTTTGTGAAGACGAAATAAGCATTAATTTTTGAGCCTGAGAGCGTGGGCGCCCCGGGTGAGGACAAAGACAGGTGCTTTGTTAGGAGAGGAGGTGCTGGGAGCTGGAAGTGAGTGAACTATTCTCACCAGCCCTCAGCGTGTGTTAAATTTATAATCGGAAATGTTTCTATACAGTGCTTAGAAAGATCTTTTTTTTTTTTTTCCCGCTTACTAATGACTAGTTTTTTCCTCTGTAAGTAATGACTGGAGGTGCAGAGAGATAAATCTTCCTTTAAGCGCATGAAGTTTTACAGTAGCACTGAACCGTGTCATCTGTATGACTTCATCTTGGTTGAATGTGGAATATAAGGTTTCATCCAGTTGCATTTTTTAGCCCATATAATGAATCAGTAGTGAATTATTCTCAGTTTCAATGCTTCAGCTTTCTAGCAAAGCACTATGGAGGTCTGCATTAGAGCCAGAAGCCAGATTCTAATGAAGGAATTCATTATATAAGGCATATATCCCATCGACTCTTGTTGGGATTGGTTGAAATAGTTCATAAGGAGCTATGCAATATGCAATATGCAATATGTAATATGTAATAAAGTGGCCGCGTGGGGGTCGAATAGTTGGCTGAGGTTGACTTTTTGGCTCTGAATTTGATGAATAAGTTTAAATCCCCCTCTCGTTTGTTCCGATGCCTTTGCAAAGGTAGTGTAAAGGCTTAATACGATGAGCAGGGGACACAAAAGATTTCTATCTGGAAAGTATTCACACTTCGCCAACAATCCCCAGCTCTTCTGGCACCCGCCGCTTCATGAATCATGCATTTTTAATAGATTATGCAAATTTCCCTCCGCCTAAAATCAACATGATCAATAACTGTGGCCATTTTAATTGGCGCTGGAAAACATTTTAAGGATGAGTATAATCTGCGCTCCTTTCCCTCGTAAAGGAACTATTCATTTGGAAATTGGATCCGGGCCTAAACGCAGGAGATCATTTAGCCGCCTCTGCTTGGCTTGAGTCTCTGTCTGCTGTTTATCACTCGAGTGTAAACGGTGGCACTGCCATTAGCTCAGGCACAAACCGTACACCTGATTACAACATACACACAGCTTATTAGTGTTAGCAGTCACCATGGGGGAAATAAAGACACACACGCTGTGTACACAGTCAAATACGCCCACACAACCTATTTAACTTTGATCATATGAATGAGCGCAAACTCTCAAAGGCCTTCCAAAAATAGCTGTCGTTCAAAAAAGGCCCATTTTCTCTGCTTAGGATGAGCATCAACATTATCTTGTCCTTCTGAAACAGCCACAACAGAGGAGCAAAGTTTCATTTATCCAGCCAGTCATTACTGCTTTCTGTCTCTTTCTCCACAACAGAAATGAATGCCTGCAGTTCTCAGCGTGTTTCAGCTAATGATGCGCTTGTTATGGTCCACGTCCACTGACACTGCCAAGCTACTGGAGAGCTATTAAAAGCTGATTCAAGTTACTTTATATAAAGCTTTCAATGTCCTACAATTGAGTTAGTTTACTTTGATAGCCATGTAGCTCAGTAATGCAGTTGAAGGGCTTAGGAGTTGGCCTAAGAATGGAAGTCAATGAGGAATAGCAACACTATATTATGTTCAACAGTCAGTTGAGCAATATTCCACCACCATTTCAGCACAGAGAACTTGCTTAATATAAACTTAATTTTGTATTCTGTTTATTTCATGAGCATTAAAAGGCTGTGTAGCTCAGTATTGTGCTAAAGACTTACTTTCAAATTGTCATAGCAATGGAAGTCAATGGGGGATTGTCAGTGAAGGAATAGCAACACTACTTTAATATGTTGAGCAGTATTCCGCCACCATTTCAGCTCAGAGAACATGCTTTAATAAAAACTTGATTTTGTATTCTGTTTAATTCATACTTGAGCAACACGAGTAATTGAGCTAACTGGCTGTGCATGATTATGAGGTTTTGCATTCCCTGAACTCAATCTGTGGTATGTTACGTGGTTAGTGAGAGAGTTCAGGTGATCTTACCTACAGGGTAGTTTTGTGACACGCTGGGGCCCAGGTCCGACGAGCTGCTGGACGACAGGCTGGGCTTGACCTCATCGAGTCCTGCATTCAGTGCAGGGAGGGCATACTCACTAGCCTAGAAACACAGACGAAAGAGTAGCGCTTAATTCTAGGTATATTAGTCAGTTATAGTAGAGTGCAGTGTGTGTTCTTAAATAGCATTAATTTGCTCTTATATAGGAAGTTTAATGGTATAAGACCTTTAAGGAATACACCTGTATTTTCATTCTGCTACATCTGTAACATTATCATGAATGATAATCTTGACACCTTACCGAAAAAGAAAACCTATTGACTCAAAATACAGTTTTAATATTTTTTGTTCCCTAAAAATATCATCATGTAACATAATCTGTTGCCCAAAAACATCCTTAAAATCTCCTCCAAAGGTTGCAGTTAAAACATTGTCTTAGTTAACATTTAACCTGATAGGAACATTATTTGAAATGCCAAACATCCTTAAAGCATTCTTTGAACATTAGATTAAAAGGTTTTCTTTAAACATTATTATTAGCCAAAGATATTGAAACGTTCCCTGGTAGCTGAACTGGGCACTTGCAGAATTCCATCAATAAATGTATGCAAAAAAAGAAAAAAGTTGTTGACCACTCATTCATTCTTCAGAAATGAAGAATGAATCTTCTTCAAAGATATTTAGAAATAAAACTGTAAATATGTGTACATAATTCTTTCCAAGATGGGACTAGCAAGAGGAAGGGAGTTGTGATAGTACATAGTGGTGTGGGTAGTTTTTCTCAGGCTCCTTCCGGACTGTCCAAAGGCTTCTATTATGAGTTTATACGAGTTTACAGAATTTCATTTCTTTTTCTAAAAGTACATCAAATTTATTGTCCACGTTAATTGAAGGTATGATACAGATGTGGCAGATCTTAGGCAGAACTTAGGTTGAAAAGCACTAAAATATACTTTTAATGTGACTGAAACAGCTTTTTGTCTAGTCTTCCTGTTTACTGTTTACACTATGCAGTTTACATAACGACAAGTTATTTTAGAGTGCTTGTATTAGAATCAGTTCTTGGTCTAACTGTTTCTTCTTGCTTGTGTTTTCCTGAATGCTCTCAGTCCGACAGTGGCCTCCTTTTGCCAAATGGGCTCTTCAGACCGTATCAACAGATGTGAGCTTTTTTTTTTTCGCCCTCCTTTTGTTATTTAATAAAATGAGACTTCCGGCGTCTGTGTGTTGATAATGTTTGCCCTGAGCTCCGTGTGTGTCACAGGGGAGGCCCCTGACCCCAGCCTTGTCTGTCTCTATCACAGATAAACTCTAATTGTCTGCTACAACTGTTCGCTGATGCCCCGGCCGATGTTTCTCTCTTTTCCTAAGAGGCCCTGGTGCAGAACAGCAGTATTCTAATGCAGATGCCGCGGATGAGGGGAAGAGAAAGATATGAAAAGGATGAGCACATGGCCGGCAGAAGCGAGGGAGGGGAGAGGCCACCGTGCTTAGTGTCTCCAAAATGGCTTTTTAATGCTCCCAACAGAACCCAGGCACCTAACTAATGTCACTGCATTTACATACACCAGAGGAGAAAATAAAAGGGGTGAGGGATGGGGGCTACCAATATAAAAAAGTGGTCTGATTAATACTGCTACAAATTAAAGCTGATTTTTCTAGAACATTTTGTGGCCATTTTTCCCCCTTTTCGCAGTCCCTCCCCTCCTTTCCTTGAGTAACCCCCCGCCAACACACACACGTTTAACACCCTCTTTTACGCTCTTTGTGATAGCGAGTCATTTCCAATTCGTTTTGGTATTGATCTTGCAGTGAAAATCAGTTTTGTAATTAGCTGCAAATTAGGCCTTCTTCTGGAGGTGAGTGCTGTCGGCCTGATTAATCGCTGAAGTAATGCCACACGATCGCCCCCAAATTAAAATGAACTCAATTAGGTCATTCCCTTTATGGCTCAGACTTCTGCTTTCAAGGGAAAATTAATAGTCACTTATTGTTTAATAGTCTGCTGAAAGTAAATAAAGGTTATCCATTGTAATAAAGCCAGCACTGTATAGCGAGCATTATGGGAAAAAATATACACAAAGGGTGTCATGCTAGTATAGTAGCACCACAAGATCTATTATTTTTACTAGTTTTCCTCATAGTGTTTTGAAAATAATATTGAATTCGGGGTCAGACATACACTCAAATACATTCAGAAGGACAATCAAATGAAGATGTTTATATATTTATTTTGTTTATTTTATTTATTTGCATGTTGACTGTGTTGATCTGAAACTGCATCCAGATTTGTTTATTCGATTACTTTTATTTGTTTTTGGGCTGTTTGTAGGATTTCAAGAGTTGTATAGTCAATGAAATGGCACTATAAAGCTGAATAATTCAGGACAAAAAATACAGAAAAGAAACATATAGGTGGCTTTCTCCTTCATCTTGATTACAATGAGCTTGGGTTTTTTATATTGTTTATTTATTTATTCTAATAAATAAAACTGGGAAGGTTTTGCTTGGAGATCCATTCTACATTGTCCATGCACCTTCAGAATGACAGTCGATTATTGTCTAACAACACAGCTGTCCCCCCCAGCCTCTGTCCTTTTCTCTTCTATGCAGTTTAAAGCTCATTAGCACAGTTTAACCCTCCTCTTCCTATCAGCTTATTGGATGCCAGAAATGTTCAATGATACATGAGAGAAAGCAAAACAATGTCTTGCATGAAGGCTATAGAATGGCATGTCTTGATCAAAATCCTGATCCTCCTGATAGGATTGATTTCACTTTTCTTTGCATTAATCATCATTAAACAGACATATCTGATATATCCACAGTGCCTGGCCCATAAAATATGAAGGTATAGAAAGTCCACACGACAAGTACAATGCCCATGTATGATACTACCTTAATGCCTTAATATGAGTGATTTCACTGTTGTTTTAATTAATCACAGATAGAATCTGACGTATTCATATCCAACCATATCTGGCCCCTTATTTAAGCTTGGTTGTGCCCTGCTACTTATTATTAGGATTTAAAGAAATAGTCTAACTATGGTCTTTTCCATCAGTATACAAAGGGAACAGTAATGGATAAGGCCTCTCACCTGTTCAGGCTTGACGTGCTCTGAGGTGGGGAAGACGTCAGGGTAGGCTGGTCGCTCGAACACTCGGTCCAGGGCCTCCAACTGTTGTTGGGTGAAGGCGTCAGCTCGAAGGTGTTTCCTCAGGCTCTCCACACTGCCCTGCGAGTCACTGTTCTGACCTGAACCTTCTGAGCCGTCTACACAGAGACCAAGAGAGAATATAATAATATTAGTTAATGCAATAAGAAAAAAAAACTCTTATTTAACTGCTCTTGACATCTTGCTAGAGAAACTGACATTCTAGAAACGACCACACCAGCTCTGAACCATCTAAGAAGATGATCAACGTTGTTTAATACTTCTAATACTACTAACTAGTACCACAATCTGTCAGAAGATTCTGATTCTGCAGAGAATTCACAATAACCGAGGATGCACTGGAAAACTGCAAACTGTCCACATGCCGTAATTTGTTGGTGCCGGTCAGACCTGAACTAGAAGTATTTATGCTCGCCACTATTTATACAAAACTGTTCATTTGCCTCACCATACTGAGATCTATTTTTCATACTCTCACAGTAGTCATTGGTTGATTTGGTCCAATGACAGTGTGTGTCTGTGTGTGTGTGTGTGTGTGTGTGGTGTATGTGTATATATATGTATAAATGTGTGTGTGTGTGTGTTATTGTTTTGGATAGGATAGGTTCCCCTTTTAAATCTAGGTTCCTCTTAAGGTTTTGGGCAATTTGCTCTTGGTTCTGTTACCATTTGCTTGCTTATTTGAAGCTAGGACCTGGATTTTCTGTAAAGCTGCTGTGTGACAATGCTTGTTGTAAAAAGTGCTATATGAGTGAATATTGAATTGAATTTCTTTTGTCAGTTTTGTTTTATCTCAGCAAGTATCATGACATCTAACGCTTGTTGGAATAAACCTTTATAAAGATCTACATAGTTTTATGTTAGTTGAAAGGCTAAATGAAAGGCTTATGTAGGTGTAGTGTAGCCTTATCAGTGCTGGTCTTTAGTAAAGTATGACCAAGTTTTTCTTCCAGCGACAGGCCCTAAGACTGTGTGTGGGTGGAGTGGATGCAGTTTGTAAACATGACTCTTTTTCTTTTTTTCACCAGCCTTAGCAGCCCTATTCAGTGGCCGTAGAGGTGGAGCTGACACAGGTCAAATAAAACTGGCATTGTTCAGTCACTTCAATGGCTAAACAACAATTTGCAAACACAGCCATTCCTCTGCATAGCCTCTGACCTGATTAGTGTCTCTCTTAGAGAAGAAAGAGGTCTTTTGCTGCCTTCTTCAAAACAACAGTGGCAGCATGGTGTAGAGCTGCCCTCACACACACGTGCATACACGCACACATAGACACACACACTGGCATTGGCATGAGTCATAGCTACCTTACGGAGCTGCCAGTCTAAATTTGCAGCAGATTATGTTCTCTCAGTGGCTCACGAGCACAGATGATGTATGATATGCAAGAGCCCTATCGATTGCCCAGCCACGAGAGAGAGAGCGAGCGAGCATGTGGAGGCTGAGCGTATGAGTGGGGGGAGGGAGGGGGGAATGGAGTTTGAAATGAAGCCGAGATGAACATCATGGCCCGGCTCATCGTGTCTATAATGCCGAGCTTAATCCAGCTCTTTTTTCTGCCGCTGAATTCAATTGATCAATCATGTCTGTCTGCCGGCTCCATTTCGGCACGTTATTGCCTCTCTGCTCCTCTCCCTGACCTTCTCCTCATCGCACAACCCCAGGCAGGAGTGCCTGGTCCATCATACGCACAATATCTCACAACCTCTACTGTGTGCGTACATCAAATTATGCTCCCTGAACAAATCTATGACCTGATCTCATAGCACAGTGGGAAGACAGTGGAGTCACAAATGGCTTAAAGCAATTTAAATATGATTGCCTGAATTCTTTTCTTGCTGCTGAGTCCAGACTGTAAACCCTCCTGACTGGGAAGACATTATTATATATAGCTTATGGCTTTTGCCTGGAGGGTCTTTTGTAGTCAGATGTTTTTTCTCCCCCCCCACCCCAGCCCCCAAACACACAGATATTTAGAGCAGTGTATTTCCGAGCAGGCATTCTCAGCAGACAGTCCCTGTGGGTCCTAAAGGCAGGGGAACGCTCTGTGCTGGGGCAAATGGAGTCATTAATTACCCTCCATTACAGGGCCTGGGCCACAAACCTGATCAATACAAGTGCATTTGTCATTCACACCAGTGACACAAACTTCCCACACGCAAGATAAACCGCACACGCACAAACTCACACAAGCCTATTACTGCTCAGCCTAATGTGGCTCTGGCATTTTGACTGCGGCTATCAAATGTCTTGCAGAACAGCTTCCTACATCCAGCGAAGAAGCTGTACACGACAATGGCTGCATGTTTAAGAGCTTAAGAACACTGAATGCTGTAGTCTGGCTTTTATTTTTTCCCCATTACTACAAATGTTACAGATTTGCCAAGACATATTTGGTGTCCAAATTTTGCTTCTTTTGTTTGGCACTGGATCTATTAGGCTAAGCTTATACCTCAGCAGTCATCACTGAGAAAGTTTAATACCTAATTCATAACACAGTTGCCTTGAAAGACGTCAAGTCGTTAAATCATTTCAAATATTTGGGGTGCACCAATACATTTTTGGACAATGCAGATATCCGATATTCTCTGTTTACATATCGGCCAGTGCTGAAACATAAACATTTAGAAATAAAAAGTAGAAACTGAGATTAGATCCTCTTGCATTAATTTTATAACAAATACAACATTTAATTGTAGAGGGTTGCAAATGCCTTGAAATGCAAAAAATTTTGCTCAGTAATCAAGGCCTAAACATTTTTCTCTTCTCAAGTGCAGTAAGTACATCAACAAATATTGTTTTTGAAATATTGGTCAAATCTAAACCTCTGTCCGATGCCAATATGTTTTTAATGGTTTTAAGTAAACGTCTGCCAATATTGATATTATCGTGCATCCCTAAAATGTACTTATTTATGTGGTTTCTGACATTGCATAGCATTCTTTTATCTAAAACAATATAACGTTGTGTTGCATAGCTTAAAGCAGTAGAAACAACATTCTTGAAGCCTTAATTTTGTACGTTTTATAGATAACTGTATGTCAGAAAGTACATAAAAAGTCTATTTGAGATTATTTAACAACTCAAATTGGTTTGAAGCAAGTGTGCAATGCTAATTGTTGATCTCACCTTAGTTATTAGCTCAAAGCTGAAGAAGCAAACTTCAGACACCAGGCATGTCTTGGCTAATTGACTGCATTTAATGTAGGGGGAAAAGTTCTGTAAATGTGAATTTTCCCCAAACTGTTGCTTTAATACACTTAAATCCTCTCTTACACCAACTTGATAACACCAATCTTGGTGACTACTTCATAACCTGTGACTGAAGATGAGCAATATGTTCTTACTGAATGCCTTCACTTTATTTTTACACTAAATCTCTTATTGCTTTTCTAGAGTAATCACGTCTCTTGCTGAAGCGGTGCTCAAAATGTGATCAAGACACCAGCACACCTTCACACCTGTCAGAGATGGAGCCGGCGTTTTGCCCATCAGCGCTTATGTAATAGGCTTCACCTGGAGCCAGAATGGCTGTGGGCTTTGAGTCGCCGGCCCCCAGCCACTCGCTCCCCTGCCCTGCTGCTGCCGTATTGATCTGCCACTGTGAGGAGTGGATTCGTTTTGACGTGGAGCGGCATTAGAGCTGAGGTAACGAGGGAGGCCACTCTATCAGAGCGCAGGAGTGGCTCTGAAACACTGCGGCATGCACACCCACAGGTCATGAACCCTCTGAGAGAGACAGGAGGGTAAAGAGGAAGAGAGATGATAATAGAAGGGGGCAAAAGATTGTGATAGGAAGAATGCAGGGGAATTGAATGGAAAAGGATTGAGAGTGATAGGAATGCCATAGAGGTGTCTTCAATAGAGAGGGAGGCTTTGAATTTCTTACAGCATCATGGTAAAACCAAAAACTCTGAATGTATATTCAAATGCTATGTAGTGGACCACAAAGCAGTCTTAGCAGATCATCTGTTGACACTTTGTAGGCCTACAAATACACAATCCAAACACTGCTGGGTTCTCATTTTGAGTTAGTTTGTATGGCATATGTCAGGGGTCTGCAACATGAAGTCAGTTTCTTGTTCTAATTTTTCTGTTTCCACTTTAAATGATACAGCAGTTACATTATGGCACCATTTTAAGTTGGAGCGGAAGATTAGAACAAGAAGCTGAATGGCAAAGATACCAATAAATTTCCCATACATTAGTGCAAATTCAGGGGTGGAGGATTGGGACATGTCCCCTCCACTTTTTGAAATTGTGTGGGATCATTTTTGTAGGGCAGCATGATGGTTGAGGAAAAAAATGTGTAGCTTATATTATCGATTTTCCTTGATTTTCCATTAAATCTTCCACACCAGTCATATTGCATTGTCAAAACAAGTTAAAACCGGGAGAAACTGCATAAGTGAACATGCACTGTGTGCACACTGAGCTATGCCAAAAACATCTGTCAGTGTGCAGCAGTGCTTAGTGAAACAGGTAACCTCACAGCTAATTTCACGACCTTTATTTGTATCAGCATCACGTGATTGTCTATCTACTCTAAAAAATATGTAATTCCTATTAATAATATTGTTTGTTTTTGTGTTTTCATGTTGATATATGCCCCCTTCCATATGAACTTTTCAAATGAATGGTTTCAATTGAGTTCCTATTGAAAGGTCCTTTTTCATCATAGTTGTTTGGAAAACACACATGTACATGATGTACAGTTGTTGTGTTAAGAACTGGATGCTACATGGCTTGTTCACTGTTCCATTTAAAGCTCCCTAAATTGGATGTGTTTATTGTTTGCATCACAGCTTGTCCTTTTGTTTGTAGCATTTTTACGTATTTATTGATGAACTGGAGAAGCTTTGAAATTCTTACAAATGAGACAATGATATCATTATGAATATAAATTGATTGCCTTCATTTGATTCAGCTAATGAATCCAAATGATTTGTTGCTCCTCTCTCTTTTTCTCCGGAGTGAATGAACTTGATATAGCAGTAGTGAATCCAACCTTGACCTTATGCTTGCTGGGTTTATGTCAAGCCAGTATCAGAACAGTGGAGCACTTCAGCAGCATTTGAGTCTGCGGTCCAGCACTGGGCCGTGCATGAGGGTGACCGGTGTGATCTTTCATCTCCTTAATAGCCCGAGCGTATGAGACAGGGCTAAAGTAATAGCTCTGATATGAGGTGCTGGTGGAGGGGTTATGGGGAGTTGGTGGGGGTGCAGTATGGATGGTAGATGTTAATTTGTGAGGTAATTGCTTTTCTCGGCGGAATTGCAAATTCCCTTAAATGTCACTTCCACCTCGCTGCTCGGACAGTCATGGGTGCCTGAGACACCGCCGATCTCTCTCTCTCTCTCTCTCTCTCTCTCTCTCTCTCTCTCTCTCTTTCTCTCTTTCTCTCTCCCTCTGACTCTATCTCTCTCTGACTCTATCTCAGTGGTTTTAATTTGCAGTAATACAGTGGCGGTGGCAGATTAATAGCCGAGGTGACACCTGTGTCCCTGTGGCCGTCCCTGGTGGAGCTGTGGTGTACATAACGCGTGTCATGGCGCATTATCTCCTGCTCCATGTGTAAGGGGAGCATTATCAGAGCCTGCTGCTGATCCAGCCATGCTGTAGGGGGCTGCAGCAGTAGCAGCTGATGGCCCTGGCTGGTGTGTGGCCACAGCACAACCTGAAAACAAACCCCCGCCACCGCTAAGACCATCTATTATGTTGTCGCTGACACGGCGGCTCTTAACCCTCGCCGGGGTTTTCTCTGAGTACTGCTCAGAGTTTTTTTTCCCTTCCCTCCACTTTGAAAAGGCCCTTACTTCTGTGCTGAGTTCTCTCCTTGTTCTGCTGACATTCTCCTGTAGTTATATAGGCAATGACAACTATGACTATACATCAAGTTTGTGTGTGTGCAGCATTGCTGTGCAAGAATGCTGATCCAAATGCAGTTTCCCTCCAGGCACACAACGAATATCAGCATTCAAAGTTTTCTTTCTAAACATATGTCCCTTAAATATTACAGGGCCATGACACATTTATTACCCATGTACAGAGTTCAAAACATGCCACAATTACTTGTTAGCATTGATAATGCGAGGAGTTAAAGGAAAATAAAAGCACTTTACCTAAGTAGAAAGAAAACATGAACACTTAAATCATTGGTGCTGTAATAAGTGAGTAGAAAACACATCATCTTTCTTAAATGGTCCCAAAATGGTCCATAAGTGTAGCCATGTCTTGAACTGATGTTAATTGAGGTGCAGATCTTGTTACTCTCTGGTTTCTTTCGAGAACAACCTGTTTCTGACAACAGCACTCACTGGTCACAGTGCATTAGTGTACATAATCGCTTCTATAAATATGTATTGACTGTGAAAATTTGCATGCATGTATAAGTACATAACTGTGTATCTGAACTGTCGTTGTTATGCGTAGTGCAAGGTTTTAAAATGATGTTCTTATCAAATAAATACAATCTTTTTCTTCTTCTGAATTGCTTATATACTCAACCCTTAAGCACAAGCCTTCTGTAAATAGCATTCACACTGCTGCACAGTGTTGATATACAGTCTGTTCTGCTTTAGCTGTATTTGGCTATGCTTGCGTATATAGACAATAAAGTGCAGTCTGGGTCTGCTTTGTGGTCAGAAACAGGTCAAATCAAACATTTGTAAATGCATTTATGTAGGCTACAACATCCAACCAGTGCCTTCTCTGTGGTCAGAACAAATCATTCATGAACAAATCCAAAAGAGGCTGACATAATTCGTAGAAAACATGATTTTATATGCTTTCTGCTCATGGCACGGACAAAGCTTGATATGGACACATATCTGTATTTCAATTTGGGATGTCATTATTGTTTTTATTAGATATTGAGTGATCTATTGATTATTTTAATGATGAATCGGATAATCACACACAAGCAATTTATAACTGCGACCTTTTAATTTTATGCCATATCCATGAAATTTGTGACTACAAACATAGGTGCATTTGCGAGTTCCTGCTGGCTCCCTCTTCAGACTATTTAACATGGCTTTATAATGACCTTCCCTGTTTGTCATTCAAGTTGCAAAGTGATGACTAAGCTGATTCATTGAGTTTTTTTATTCAATTTTTTAAAATCAAGTAATCAAAACACTTTTATAGCTTTTTTAAAAACAATGCACAGTAATGTAGTAGGACAGTAGTACCTGTACAGTCTCTTTAGGGAGCGTATATGTGTTTGAGTGAGTGATTGAGTGGCTTTATTTGTATTTGCGTGACCAGATATTCACCTGGCACAGAGAAAATACACCTCATTTATTTCCCTGTACTTACTTTATGCATGATATGTGTGTATGTAGGTTGTGTCACATCCATTGATGTAAGAGTGCATAAAACCCCCCGGACCTTCTGTCCTCTCTTTCTCCATGCTCCCATCCCATCTCTCTTTTCCTCCATCCCTGCATCTCCTCAGTTCCGACACTTAAATCACGAAAATAGCCTCCCATCAGGAGGGTCATTTCAGAGGAGGGAAAACCCCTGAAACAGTCAGTCATCTTGGAGAGCACAGACCACACACACACACACACACACACGCACGCACGCACACACACACACACACGAATCTTCAGTCTCCGAGCTCCCATCATTTTCGTGGTTCAGCTATAATGTGCTGCTGTGCCCTTGCCGTGCCCAACTGAGACAGAACAAATGGAAGTAACCCATGGTGACTGATTCTCTAAGCAGGAGAATGACCCCCTTACCCAGAGCTTTGTACCATATGCCTACCAAATGCATTTGTCGTATGTATCAGTTTCACGCTGAGTGCTGTCCTTTTCTGTGAGGTGATTTAGCAGCTATGGGCTACATACAGTAAGCCATTTACCCCCTGTACATTTACCCCCTTACCAGCCAAACATCAAAATGTCACTTCCATGCTGCACCATTTGAACGTTGCATAAATGGTGACCGCATAGAAAGACAGAGTGTTCAAGCGTCTGTTCATGTTTCATTCACAATTGTTTTCCATCATATCATTATTGTGAGGTTGCACAAGCTTTTAGGGGAAAGTGAGGCACAATCTAACACATCTAGCTTTTTGCTAAATAATAATTTTTAAATAAAAGTATTTGAGCAAGATTAATATATCTTTTATGCAAACTTTGTTTCCAGTTACGTCCTGGAAAGGCAAGTGTTACCATTTACCCCATAGGTGGTGACTGAAGGGTTAGTTGTAACAATCACTAAAAAGTCTGAGAAATCAATGGAAACACAATTAATTCAGTATTATTCAATGCTATTTTTTTTAAAAAGATGAATTTTCCAACCTAAATGCATAGATATAAGCATCTAAACTAAAATGATTAGTGAGAAGAGGCTGTCAAGCCCTGAAAAATATTTTTGACCAAAAATTGGAAGAGCTAATATCGGAATCATAAAAAATGAAATATATTTCAATTTTATGACATCTATAGTATGTATCTGATAAATCGTCTCTCATTGTATTCATTAGGACACTTAGTTGTCTCACTGCGGTACCCCAACGTGTGGAGGCTGCACTTCAGCCTGGCTAGCGGCCTTCTGGGTGAATCTTGAGAGATGGTAATGAGAGGATGACCAAAAGCATGTTCTACATAAACTGTTTGACTATATAAAAAGGTTTGTCCCCTACAGAACATTGACAAAATGAAATTCAAACTTATTGTAGTGTACAACAATCAATTTTTTGTTGTCGTAATATGAAAATTTAGAGTGTGTTATTAACTAATTAAACAATATTGTATGTATATGTAAAGGTAACAGTTTTAGAATAGTAGTATTTTGCAAGTTTAAGTGTAATTGAACTAACAATAACATGGTGGCAAATCTGTATAGTTGTCATTAATGTGCTTGTAAAGTAGCATTTTAACTGGAAACTCAATGTTATATAGCAGTTCTAAACAAACCTAGTGGTCTGATTAATAATTTCTCATTGAATGGGATTTTATCTAACATTCTGCAAAGCGTATCCAACCGTTTCTATGAAAGAATCCAGTTGTGGATGCACCATGGTCAAATGTAAACCACAATTACTTTTGCATTGCTCAAATTAGTCATTAGATTTGTATTGCATTATCATCTGAGGTGATTTTCATTAGACAGAAAAGTGAAAAACAAGCTTGAGCTGATCCAAGGGGTCTAAACCTGCTCCAGATTCTTGCAATGCTTCTGCACAGAGAGGGTTATATTACCCCTTGAAAGGGTACCCTTTAATAGTATACAGAAGAAATACTTCAAGTGTGTATATGTCCTGTAAAATGCAGAAGGACAGGAGGAAATGAGGGGGCCCTTGTGCTGAATGTCTTCCTGCGACCGCCTCTACTGTCTTGTTTGACTGAGTTGGCTAGTTGGCTGCATCAGTCTGACACGTAATTACTGAAGCGCTCTTAATCACAGCAGAGTAGATTAACCATAGGGACACCAGGTCACGGCGTCACAACCAAAACACTGGATTACGTCACCTTTCCTCATACTTTTAGACCAATAGAAACACAGATGGAGTGGTAACACAGGGCTCACGTGCTTTAGAATTGGAATTAATGCCAGTAATAAATCAGCATGTGCTAACAGTCTTAATGTGCAGCACAGAAGGTGTGACTGCACAAATTCCATTTCCTTTTACTTCATTATTAGAAAACATGAACATAGACAATGTCACTGGGGTCTTTGTGCAATTTAAGAGAAGAAGAGGAAAAAATCCTTCAGTTCTGACTTTTTCACACATCAGTTCCTTATACAGTACAACAGCTCTCACTAAAGGTCAGACTGCAAGCAACCCTTTCAGCGTCAGGTCAGAATTCCTACAAATGAGCCTTGAATTACTGGGAAAATAAAAAGGGAAATCAGGGACAAAGTCTCGCAGCTGTATCTAAAGCAGCCAGTTTTAAAAAAAAGAAGAACCCCATATGCTTACCGTCATCTCTTTTCCTCTTCTCTCCGTTGGAACGAGGGATGCCCAGAATGCCATTGATGGAGTAGGAGCCTACAGGATCGCCGGATCCACTTGAGACTGGAGGGGACGCCGTGCTGGGGACTGCAGAGGGAGGGATGAGGAATAAACTGAGTAACATTTAAATGCCTGAAAAGGCCCTGTAGGTTTAGGAATGTCCACTCAACAATGTTCTATTACTTTTTCTTCATACTTAACCTGAACTGGTAGTATCTGTCGGTTTAGCATCAGTAAAGTTTGTTTTATAATCTGTTCATCTGCATGCAAACTGAGCTTTTATTGACTCAATGACAAAAATCTCCATTGCTCTTGTGTAACTATGGTTCTTTGTCAAAACATAAAGGTCTAATATTTTATTAGAATTAAACTGGTAAATTCTTTTATTAATACCAAAGCTGGCAGCTGCATAAAGTGTATATGTGCTGAACTAAGCTGAGCTGTGCGTACAGCTAATATTGCAGTAGCAACAAGTCACAAAAGCATCTTCAAAATGTTAACTTTATAAGAAACTTCATTTACATTAATTAACCTGATTTGTTCCAAGTAATTCTGGACCATTTCTTTCTTCTCAAATCGTGTTTAAAAATAAAATTAAAATAAAAAGCAAGGAAAAAGAGGTGACCAAGTTGTGATACAAGCTGTAATCCGAATCTGATATAGTCAAAATGACAGAGAGAGTTTACAGGACACAGATTTCACCTCAACCCTAAAGTAGAACTTTATTCTGAGGGTCATATTAAGTCTAGAACCAATCTACAAAACTATAGCAGTGCAGCAGATTGAGCTCACCTATAGTGTGTCCTGGTGTTGAGAGGGATGTTCCGTCAGGTGAAGGGTGGTACTGCTGCTGAACTTTAGTCCGAATAATCCTGCGGAGTGAAGACAGCACGGGTTATACATGTGAAACTGCAGAATCCTTGCAGTCTGAATGCTTCTCTCTGATAACTGCACATTATCAGCTTCTTTCACACTGTAGGGAGGCTCTGTAGATGTAGCAGAGACGGTCTGATGGAGCAGGCATCCGCAAAGGTGTGTGCAGTTTTTAGCCAAGCTAGAAATGGAGTCGATGTACCTTTTAAAGTGAGAGGTTGAGAAAAGCTCGAGCTGCAATTTGGCTTTGGGTGATCTTGCAAACAAAGCATGAAATCACATCAATTCACCTCAATGATCGACTTCGCCATCCTTACCTGCCCTACACTAATCATCTCTCTCTCTCTCTCTCTCTCTCTCTCTCTCTCTCTCTCTCTCTCTCTCTCTCATACACACATACTTACAAACACCCCCCCACACACACACACACACTTTCTCTCTCTCTTCTTGAGGAAAACCTCAGAGCTGGTGTGGATGAGGTTTTATTGATCCAAACTCAGGAATAAAAAGTTCTGGATTAGCCACATGGGCAAACGGATGCAAATAGAAGGCTATAAATTACATGTGACAGGAAAGCAATAGTTCCTCAGTGCTCTTGCACCAGCTTACACCAGCATCTGATTCCTTTAATCCGAGAGTCACTTTGGGGAGAGAGGAGGCCGTCATGCTCGTTTGTAAACTTATGCTTCATTCATCATCAGTGACAATGTGTCTGTTGTAATTCAAACATGCAAAAATTGGCTCAGAAAAAAAGGTTTTTGCATGTTGTATCTACATAAAAAAAAAGTAACTTTATTTATTTCAAGTCATTTTGCAGCATTTCTGTTGGTAAAAATCTTTTTTTTATTTTCTTTTTCCTTTGGACAGTAATTGAACTAAACCACACACTGTCTGTATTAAAAAACAGTCTCAGGGAAAAAAAATATACTAAACTGTCCCTGGGGTGGTACTCTTCACGTCACTGGGGTCTCTAATGCCCTTAGTTAGTTAAAGGAACATAATTGTACCATGTTCTTTAGCAGTTATATTTTTTATTTGCATACATTTGTTCTATTTTAAAATGTTATAAAAAGGTTAGACTGTGCACCTTTTCTCCTGGGAAAGTGAATGATAAAACTAATTTGAGGCACACAGTTTGACCTTAAGATCGTTGTTGTATGTTTTAAGGTACATTTACACTGTTTGCACCTTCGTAAACAAAAATGTACTTGTTAAGTACTTTTTTTCTGATAGTGTACACTGCCAAAAAACTTTGGAGCGATGCCATAAAAGGTTCTTTAAACCTCATGCATTTGGTTGTGTGGACTTTAAAGAACCTCCATGTAATCGTAAAGGTTCTGAACTGTACATCCTAGCCAAGAACCATGTAAGAACGTTTATTATTAAGCATGTAGAAAGAAAACTTTGGAATAGCAGACTAATTGCACTGTAGGTTTATACAGACAATGGGCCTCATTCACCAAATGTCTTCCTAAGTTTTTTCTTAAATTTGTTCTTGAGAAAGGTCCTAAGAAAAAGTCTGATTCAGATTCATGACATGTTCTTAAACTACAGAATTGTTTCACACCTTTGCGCTCTTGAGTGGGTATAGATTCTGTTCTTACCTAAGAACAAATCCCAAATAAAAGAACATTGATGAATGTCCGAATCTTTGTGAAAACTGCATAAGTGGGTTTTAATAAGAGATTTCTTCTTATGAACGGTTGGTGAATGAGGCCCATTGTTTGTTCTTGTTTTGCAGATGTTTACCTATAGCCATTTACATGCTTATGTATTTTTCATTTCCTAGCCCATAGATAATATCGATCACAAAAACCTTTTCTAATTTATTTTGGCTGCTGCCTTGTAATATTTGTGTTGCGGCCGTCTTATTCAAAAGTCAAGAATGTACCCATTAAAATGATGGCTGGGCTCATATTGACATTGGATGAAATGTGTATGATTGTAGCTAAAATCTTGGCCCTTAGGCCAACGCTTCAGCAGTGATCACGTATCAATATTTATTTCTAGCTTCTTGTTCTCTTTTTCGTCCTCTCTCTTTTTCTCCATGAGAGTAATTTGACCCCCTGACTGCAGCGGGCTGTATAAATCCAGCAGCTTTGTACAGGATCTGTGTTGCTGTTATTGAAGAAGTAATTTGAGAGAATGAATTAATGACACAGCCGCAGCTGAAAATCCCCTGAAGAAATATTAAAATTGCCTTACATGTGAATCAATAATATTGAGTGCCGTTGAGGTTTGTTTGGATGTCTTGTGGTCAGTGCTGTGTGTGGCTGGTAGAGGAGCAGACACCTCAGTGCAACAGGACCTCAGTAAGAGTTAATAATGCATGCCAAAGAAAAGTGCTTAAAGCTAAAACGTCCTCTCACTATCAACAGGAACAAGCTCAGCTTTCTGCACCCATACGACAGTAAAACAAACAAGAAAACACGGTGACTGTGGTGTCCTTCTTTGTGAAAGATATGTAATATAAATTAATGCGGATATCGTCAGTACTTAAAGAACCCTCACCAACTGCGTATTTCATTATAAAGAATGTAATTAGATGTGTTTATATATATATATATATATATATATATATATATATATATATATATATATATATATATATATATATATATATATTAATGGTACAAGCAAAAAAGAAAGAAACATGGTATGTCTCTTTCTTTCTTTCTTTTTTGTTTGTTTCTTGCTTTCTCTCTCTCTCTCTCTCTCTCTCTCTCTCTCTCTCTCTCTCTCTCTCTCTCTTTCTACCATGGCCTCCATGCATGAATGAACCAACCCAGTTTTATTATTATTAAAAATATAGACACAGAATTGGAATGAGTTCTGTGTTTCATCAGTTAGGAAGCTCTCTCTGCCTTCTGAAGAATAATGGAGTTAATCACAGCTCGGTTACAGCTGCACAATCACATTACCTTACAGTCACATTTTCATTTTTACTCCTAATCAAAGACTTAGTCTCTCATTTCTAAATAACCAGCTTGAATTCAATTAAAATTCATAAAAGTTTAAGGAGCACCCTTTAATTATATTAATGTGGCCTACATGTTGAATTTCTCATACATTTGTGTGAAAAGCTGCTCAGATGGGTCTTTTTAGGCAACCACGAGGCATGAAATGAAGGCTTTTTTCATGCTTTTCTCTGTTCTTGTGCTAGACTGCTCTATTCTTCTGCAGGGCCTCATTAAAATGTAACGCAGAGGCTGGCTTTATGGAAGAGTGCACCTTCCCCTCCTCTCTCTCCATCTTTTACTGCCTCTACACCACCACGTTTTTGCTCCTTATCAGTAACCACTGCCTCGCCTGCGCCTCGCACCTCTGCATGCAGAGCCTCGGCCCAGTCACTGGACTTTTAGTTCTAGATTTGTCTGTTGAGTATTGAATTATTGGTTGAGTATGTTGTGGTAGACTCGCTTTTATCTGAGCGATTTACGCCACAAAACAGGGACAGTGCATCATACTCTGTGAACAGCTATTTGCCCCTTGTTTGTTCATTTATTTATTCACTACTGAGAAGTATTTATTTTATACTTTAAGTATTTATTTTGTTATAATGTTTGTTATCGTGGATTTCATTTATTTGTTTATTCATTTGCTAATATATGTGGGCGAAATTCTGCTCAGTTTCTATCTATCTATCTATCTATCTATCTATCTATCTATCTATCTATCCATCTATTTGGGCGGTTAAGTAAATAAAAAATCTTTATTTCATAAACCCGTGTTTCTCCCCATCAGGCTCGTGAGGAACACTCGCTCACTCACTCTGTCGCGCGCTCTGTTGCCCCGGTGGGGGTCTTCTTGCAGCGCGGAGGCGCGAGCCGCTTCACACCAACACATGAACGCGCGTGACGCTCATAAGTCCGATCGCAGCAAAACGAGGCATTTAATACAGAGAACCAAACAACAGCCTGTTAAACTACCACACTATTACACCCATCTGGTATCCCCCCTCTTTCTTTCTTTCTTTCTTTCTTTCTTTCTTTCTTTCTTTTCTCTTTGCTCATTTATTTATCTATTTCATCTTTTTCTTGTTACTCCTCTTCCTCGCTGTGTACACTGTCTTGTTAATGATGAGGCTGAGATGTGACTCCGCTCTGTCACAGTCCTCTCTGTTTGCTCCCTCCACGTACAGATATACACATATACACAGATTCTGCGTGTCTCCACATTCAGCAGTAAGAATTCTCGCAGTGTTTCCTACCTGTTTATGGAGGAGACGCTGGGGACGGTGTCGTTATCGCAGATGCCCTCCGCCAGCAGTCTGTCCCGGATCTCCCAGGCGAACATGGTGGGGTTTTGTCTCTTATAGTCCGCGATCTTATCCACCACTTTGGGTGTAGCGACCTTTGGCTTGGAGCCTCCGATTACTCCAGGCTTTATACTGCCCGTCTCATAGTACCTACAGCCACGGTGCACACAACAAGCACATTACAACACATTTATAAATCAGACAGTACGTTTATGAGTCAGACAGTACGTTTATGAGTCAGACAGTACATTTATAAATCAGACAGCACATTTATAAATCAGCTCTGCTCATTTTACCAGACTTGGCTTGTCTTTGAGAATGTCTTCAGTCTAAGGAGAAAGGTACTAAATAGACTCAGGGTTATGTGATGAGGCTTTATTTATTTATTTATTGATTTATTTAGTTATTTATTTATTTATGCAACTGACAATTTAAAGTGGAGCAAAATGGACTCTTCTGAAAGCTTTTATACTGTAAGCGCTAATGCAGCAAGAAGCAAGTGAATTATTATTAATATTAATATTATTAAGGGTCAGTTGTCCTCTGCCCACACCCTGGCCCAGGGTCCAAAAAATCGTACACATAAACACACAATTTGCGCATAAAAAAAATCATTATTAAACCAAGTCACCAGCTGAAAGAAATGCAGTATTTCAGGCACATTCAGTTTCAATTACACCACCATTAAAGCTAATTTTGCTGTGGTCTACAGGGCTGGCGTTTTTATGACGTAATGAATACAGGTATTTAATGTATTTTTTAAATCTTCTTGTGGATTGTTTGATTTGTGGTTTATTTAAACTTACTTTTCAATAGCACAACTCTCTCTCTCTCTCTCTATCTCTCTCTCTCTCTCTCTCTCTCTCTCACCTGCCCAGGATCTTGCTCACGCAGCCATGGCTGACCCTCAGTTGTCGGGATATGTCACAGGGTCTGACACCCTGGTGGGCCAGCTCTACTATCCTCTGGCGCACCACGTCAGGTAGCGGTCTGCCGTTCACGAACACCCCACCTAGCTGGTTCACTCCGCCTTGCCCTACAGGGGACACAACAGCAGTAGAGGAAAAAAATAACATTACACAAGCTGGTTTACAGTGCCATGCCCTAAAGGAGACAGAAACACAGGGAAATATATCCTTAATGTCCACTAACTGCTTCACTCCTCCATGCCCTACAGGAGAGACCACAGCAGAGCAGGAACATCCAACTTTACGCTAGCTTCTTCACTCTTTCTCTATAAAGAAGATAATAGTAGTAGGAAAGTGTAACATCACTGGCTGGTTCATATACACTGTACACTATAGAACAGACAAGAGCAGTAAGGCCTGGCAGAACATTAGGCTGCACTGTCTTATGCCCTAAACAATAGGTGTCCAGGTAAATATAACAGAGAAAATATTACATGAATAATTACATGAATTAATTCAGTATCACATGCCCTACTCGTGAACAAGAGCTGCACACTAAATAGAAAAAGTTGGCTCATTATCAGATGCCCTATAGTGGAGGTAACAGCAGCGTGGAAACAAACCTGTAACACGAAAACAGGTATAGTGATGTATCGGATGCTTTAATCGCGATTTAAACCGTTCAGAACACCGCGGTTTTATTTCAGTATTATTACATTTATTATTATTATTGTAACCCTTGTTAGTATTATTAAGGATTTACTATTTGATTTTTCTTTTCAAGTCAAGGCCTTAAACTGAGCACAGCAAACTGGCTGTGGCTTCAGTCATTTCAATATTATCGTAGGTCTTATGCTTTATTATTGTGCATAGTAGGATTTTTTTCACCCTTAAATTCATTATTATTTTAGTATATAAACATAAATATTTTTTAAGTAGTGTAGAAAGTTGCCTCCGTGGTCATTAAGATGATGAGTGTGTGTGTTCAATAAAGCTGCTAGAATATTATTTAATATTTTTCAACTAAAATATTTTTTCTCTTTTATCGTCAACTAGATTTAAATTCAGTCCAATTTTTATTGTCTTTTCCCGCCTGATTTTTTTTTGCAACTACGTGAGCGCAGATTATTTTTAGTTATTTTTTATTTTATTTTTTTTTAAGTGGAGAAGTAGCCAGACCTTATTTTTAAAACGATTAAAAAGGAAAAATGAAAATGAAAATAAGCCCTGCTGTTATTACTCATGTAATAACGGTCTGGTCTGCCTTAATTGTGGTATATAAAAAATAATGAACACTATTTATTTATTCATGTATTTGCTTTCCAAGACATCCTAAAATCATAATTTTCTTTTTAATATGACAATAATTTCTCCAGCCGTGTTCTCCTCTCCTCTCTGATCAGCCGGTGCTCCTTCTGATTAGCCTGATTATATTACGCTCTGTTCATTTTCCTCTCTTCGTAATTAGAAACCATTCAGACTTTCAGTCGCTCATGTTTCACATCACTGAAAAGAATTTGTTCGTAAAATATGATACTGAATATATAATACTAAATCGGTTCGTCTATATATAACGCTGTTGAAATGAACAGATTATTTTTAACTCACAAATGGTAACAACAGTTTGAATTTCCATATTATTTACATATTTTTATAACACGTTGCTGTTTTGTGCTTGTGTGGAATCTTTAACGGTAAAAAGGCGCAACATATTTTAAATTTTGAATTAAAAAAAATGAAAACGCCGATGTTACACATCCCTATTTAGATTAAACAAGAAATATTTTGCATGTATTTATATAGTAATCAAATAAAATAATACATAATCTAAAATGAATAAAATGTATTCCATTTATATTACTTTTTATAAATCCTCAAAACGTGAGTAGTGAAATAATATTAGTATTAAATTCGTGTGTTCAGCCGGCTCCAGTGCTGTTAGTGTGCAGTTCAGCTGAACTGAACCTTGTTTTTGTATTTAGTGCTGAATGTTATTAGCATGACATTGCTGCACACAGGCCTCTACCAGTGTAATGAAGAATATCTCTCTCTCTCTCTCTGTGTTACGGATGTGTGTAAGTGTGAATAAATGGTGCTGGTTTGGGTTGAGGACTCACTGTGCATGGCGGAGAAGGGGTCTGCTTTGCAGTGGATGTCCATGGGGCAGCAGAGCAGGGACAGGTAATCAGCTGAAGCCGCCGTCTCGCTTTCTTTATGTGGATAATTACGGAGAAAAAAATAGAAAATCGAGTGTACAGTGGCGGCAGCGGAGCGCGGTTCCCTCCGGGCTCCGACCGGACACCGCGGGCAAACTTCAGCGAGTTCCCTCACGTGGGAGGAAAAGGCAACAAACAAACAAAACAACAACAACAACAAAAGCCTGCAGTCGACCCTGCGCTCGCTCAGGTGTCGACCATGACCGGAGCTGGTGGTCGTCAATGTTTATTTAAAAAATGCTTCTATTAAAAAATGCCGGTCGCTCGTGCCATCGGTGTGTCCTAAATCCCCGGTGGCCTCGGTCAGTAGCCCCGGTCAGCAGCCGGTGCGGAGAGGCTGGTGAATGAGAGGAGGCGCAGGTGGACGTTCCCCGTTGCCGTTTGGAGAGGCGCTGCGCGCGGGCTGGCCGGAGAGCAGCCCCGGGCCTGTGCTGTGGGTGTAGGTGTGTGTACGGAGCTGCAGCTTCCTTGCTTTGCTTATATGGATGAGCTGTGGGACAAAAGGCAGGAGACTCCAGCGGGTGTGTGATTCGCCAGCGTAAAGAGGAGCAGCTGCAGCGAGGAGGGCCCTCCGCCTGTCACTCCAAAGGGGGAGGGGGATGAGGGGAGAGGAAGGTGGGCGACGGAGTTTACGAGGAATCCAGCGAGAAGGCAAAACCGAGAAGTTCAGGTGGTCATTTTTTTTCTGCGTGATTATTTCTACCTTCGGCTTTCAGCCTCGCGCGCCTCCTCTGAAGGAATTCAGCGCTAAAATAGACAGTAGACACAGAAACCTCTGTTATCCATCCCTAAAGCACACTCGCATTTAAAGTGATTATTATTGTTTTATTAGTATGCTTACTAAAACAGTGCATGCTCAATGATGTCAGGTGTTATTATTAATGTTATTATGATTTTATTATATTATTAATGGAATGTGTATGTTGCTACATCTTTACCGTTCATGTGTTTTTTTCCTCTTTATTTCTCCGTCTTGTTTTGATTTCTTCCTTTCTTCTCCTGGCTGATGGTGCGCGAGCACACTGTAGATGGCGCTGTGCAGTTTGCACCCAGCTGCTGAAAAGAAAGAAAAGAAAAAAAAGGAAAAAGGTTAAAAACTTCCTCGCAGGTTTCAGCCTGATACCAGTAATCATTACTGGATGAATCCGCTTTGGCTGAAGCAGACAGGAGCTGCTGATTCTGGTGATATCTGACGTGTTTCCGCCTCTTTTGAGTGAGTTGATTATTCAAATTATGAAGAATTTTTCGTCTCTGAATCGACTCTGAAGGATGATGCCAGTAGCTTTGCAGATATAAAGGCCTGATCACTGCTGGTAAAAAGGCTTTCCCCCCCTGCAAACTGGTTTATTCTATTCCTGTTATCCAATAACCGAATACAGGGCTGTTTTATTGAAGACGTATTAAAAGATATATACATACATATATATATATATATATATATATATATATATATATATATATATATATATATATAAACAAATCTTAAAATCTTGAATATATCTAAATAAAAAATAAATAAATAATGGAAATGGTAAAATATTCAAAGATTTCGTGCAAAAAACAAACAAATAAAATAAATAAAATAAATAAATAAATGAGCAATGTAAATTGTCTTCAGAAAACGTAAAATGATGTAGCATCTTAACATTACAAAAACGTGCAAAAAACTTGCCTCAAAAAGGTACAAATATCTAGTCGTCTTGATATGTCCAGTTAAGCTGAGCTATAATGACCCCCAAAATAAGACCTAAAAATGATGCTGCCTGCCTCCAAAATTCACAGATTGAAAAATTACCTGCATTTCCGTCAGAAGACCTAAAATTGTTCAGTGTGTCTCGATAAAACCGCGTTCAGCTCTCAGAATGAATTTTAGTGCCTACAAAGCAAAAACCGTCGTTTACAAAAGAGCGTCAAAAGGGCCAATAAGGTGGTCGCCTGTGTCTCAGGGCCCTGGTGTTTTGGTGTTTTTGGTGTTTTGGTGTTTGGGATGGGGGGCAGGTCTGCGTGCCTATGTGCCTCCTGGTTGGGTTAGAGGATGATTTTGGAGGAGCTTCTGCTACAATATGCAGCACTCTGGGCTGCAATTTCACCCTCCGCTGCACACTTAGCCCAAAGCTACATTTTTCTTGTCTGAAGCCCCCCTCCCCTCTTCCTCTCCTGCCCCTCCCCTCCTCAGGCTTCCTCCACTTGCCCTTGCGCTCTGCGCGTTTTGCCTCTTTGTGCGCTAGAATTAAGTGGTGGCGTGTTTTTCTTTTTTGCGTTGTTGTTGTTGTTGTTATTATTGTTGTTGTTTTATAGAGAAATTGTACAACTGTTTGCAAACAAACTCGGTGAATCAGCGCTTTATTTACTCCCGGCCCACCAAACCTCCACTCTTGCCCACCCCTTGGTGGCGCGTGCACCCCGCGCAGGGTCACTGAGCCCCTGCTTTGAGCGCGCGGGCAATTACAGCGGCTCGTGTCCTCCTTAAAAACTATTTAAATTAGCATAGGGCCGGGAAGAAGCGCATCACCGCTGAATGTGTGTTGTTGAGGTTTGTTTTGGTCCTCGCGCAGCTCACGGGGAGATGTTCTTCGCTTGTTCTGCCTGTTTGAACAGTTATTGTGGAGCTCAGATGATTTTGTGACGTGTTCAGTAGGAACGACTCCAGTTTCTCTAACTTAAAGTGAAGCTGATGGGAAACGTGCTGATGGCAGAGTTTCTGCTGAACTCCTCAGTGAACTGTGAGCTCTCTGTGGACCTGTCTGTGAATATGATAGGGAGCGCGAGAGCAGCGGCTGTGCGAGCTCCACCGGAGCGCACTGCTCCTCCTGCTCGTGGAATGCGCGCTGTATCAGTGAGAGGAGGTAAACTCTCCCCCTCCGCTGCCTCTAATACCCCTAAAGGCTCCGTCACCGATCGATAAGGAGCTACGGAGCATCACAGAGAGCAGGAGGAGCCAAGCACATTTCACAATTCAGTGCAGTTTCTGTTCACCACTATTCACTCCGAGGAACAGTGCAGTATGAGAGTTATTACAGGAATATAGGGTCTGTTTCCTGGACAGGGAATAAGGCCAGTCCTGGACTACATTTCCTGTCAATGGAGCATCTCTATTCTGAATGCTGTGTAGTCTAGGACTAGACTTGATCCCTGTCCAGGAAACAGACCCTACGCGTCTATAGGACAGTAATAACTGTCGTATAGCACTGTTCTTCGCAGTGGACGGTGGTGAATAAAAGCTGTTCTGAAATGTGAAATGTGGTGAGCTCCTCCTGCTCTTCGTGATACTCTGCGGATGTGCACATTTTCTTTTTGTCTTTCCTTTTTCTTTCTTTTTTTTTTGCCTTCTTTCAGTTGCACTGTTATATGTGTTTATTATTTTTTCCCTTCCAGTTTTTATTTTTGCTCTCTCACTACACACTTTATTCGTGGGAAGAGCTTTAATTTCAGTTTTGTTTCTTGCGTTAAAAGCAGCATTTTCAGTTTGGTCGTCATGAATGGCCAAGACAAACTGATCAATAAATCTGTCCAGAACTCTAGTTTAGAATGAAGAAACTGTCCTGCTTTTCTGCTTATTCATAATGATAACTAACATTATTATTTTCATTATTATTATTACTAGTAGTAGTATTAGTATTAGTATTAGTATTAGTATTATTAGTAAACAATAAAACAAATGAAAAATAGTTGTCAACGATGATAATAATAATAATAATAATAATAATAATAATAATAATAATAATTGTTGTTGTTGTTGTTGTTGCAATTTTCCAAAAGTAGAAGGTAGAAATGATCCGTGCTGCTGAAACCAGATCACTTTTATTATTTACATGAAATATTAAGGTCTGTGTAATTGCTATACATTTGTAATGCTTTGGCGACCCCTTATTGAGACAAAACAGAAGTAGTATATAAGGATGTAATAATAGTCTCAGGTGTAATGAGAGTGAGCAGGTCCGTCATCGTTATGTGGAGTGTGTAGGATCTGTGAGAAGGTGTGTGATGTGTGGAATGTGTGTGAAGTGTGTGGAGCATGTGGAGTGTGCGGTTGTGCGCTCATGAGGGAACAGATGGAGGGCGCGTGACGCCGCCACAGATTGATTTCGCGCGCGCCTTTAATTTCGACATAATTAATTAGATCATTACAACTGTTTTCCATTGATCTTACCATTTAGGGCCAAAATTAAAAGGTGAATCAGTTAGCTCTTTACTGGATCCGTGTTTTCTCTTTACAGAGGGGTAGCCTGCGTTACACACCCACCTCCCCAACATACATATGTACATACATTTATACATACATACACACACTTATGTGCGTACATGCATATATACATAAATGAGAAATGAATGAATGGCCAAATGAATTAGATTATAGCCCACATGACCACAAAGTGTTTACTGTACAGCACAATCAGTATTACTGTGAGAATCAGTCAGTGTTTTTTAGACTGGATTATATATATATATATATATATATATATATATATATATATATATATATATTCATACTTTCATATATGTGTGTGTGTAATTGAATGGCTGAGTAAGGCAGTTCACTTTGAACGCTGAGCTGCTTCTGGCTATTTCGAGTTACTGTCTTTACTGCATTAAAAGTTGCATGAATTTCAAGTATTTAACTTTTACAGCTGTTGGGCCACTATTTTAGATAATAAAATTAATACCGCAGAAATATGCTTCCGTGACTGCCGCCATAAAATGCAACACCCTGAAAAGATAAATTAGGCTAAATATTGAAATGAGGATATTTCAGAGGATATTTCACACGTGAGCTAACAGCTTAGAACTGAATTTGTGAGCCAGTGTGCTGATATTACACCCACACACAGTAGCAGAATTAAAAAACAAACACTAGAATTAGCAGCTAGTTCTAATTTCTAATAATGTAAACATATTAACTTAGGTCTTATTATTAATGTTATTATTATTATTATTATTATTATT